CAAGCTGGATCCCTAAAATATCAGGCCGCTACACAGCCGATGACAGATCACTGCACCGGCCGGCTGCCATTGTCATGTGATCACTGTGACCAATCACAGCAGATCACATGACAGTTTCTTTGAAGCCATTCATTGCTTACAGTTGTGCTACTAGCTGTGATTGGTCACAGTGGTCACATGTACAGACTGAGCCAATAATAGCCCATCTGTAGCATCTGATCAGCTGTGGCCATAGCTGATCACAACAAAGACTACTGAATAAATCAGTTTCATTCGGTAAAAATGCTTGATTATACTAATAAAATTTGTTGGTATAACCAATCATAATGTGTTAAAAAATAAAAACAAAAAACAAATTTGTGAGCACTTGCCCAGAATAGTACAATGTTACTGTGGTAAGATTGTAAAAAATTTAAAAAATTTAATAAAAACTAAAAAAAAAACTAAAACAAAATAGTTTTTTTTAACATACTGTCACCAGTCAGTGTCCCTGATCACTGCCATTCAGTTATATAATGACGCTGTACTGCGTTGGTGACAGTATGTAAAAAAAAGAAATGAAAATTTTTTTTCATTTCTTTATTTTCCACAAAATTATGACAAAAAAATGACAGCTTAAAAAACTTGCCATGCCTCGTTCTAAATAGCTCGGACTGTCTACTTTTTGAAAAGCAGTCATTTGGGGGATATTTGTACTGTCCTGGCATTTTTGGGCCTCAAGAAATGAGATTTTATCTCAGGATTTATCGATTTTTATATATATATACCATAGTTTGTGGACTCTATAAATAATAAGCACTGATTTTGGTTATTTTCACCAACGAATTGTAGCAGAATACATTTTGGCCTAAATTGGTGTAGAAAGATTATTTATTTGCAAAATTTTATAACAGAAACAAAGAAAAACTAATTTTTTTCCAAATTTTCGTCTTTTTTCATTTATAGCAAAAAAAAAAAAAAACAGTAGTGGTTAAATAACCCCCAAAAAATCTATTTGAATGAAAAAAAAATGGCATATGGGTACAGTGTTGCATGACCACGCAATTGTCATTCAAAGTGCAACAGCTCTGAAAGGTGAATATTGGCCTCGGCAGGAAGTGGATAAAAGTGCCCAGTAGGCAGGTTGGTAACAACCACAGCTACTCGCAATGAATTTGGATCATTATTGATTGAATTTGAAGAAGATGTCATCCAAATGAAACAAATGAACAAATTAATTCATTTTTTTTATATATAACTTTTTCAGATTTGTTGCCATTTGTTTCTATGTTCAGTCAGAAATTCGGTTTCCATCCGAATCTCTGAATAAATGAAATTTTCATTTGAAAAAATTAATGCAAGCAAATTGAATCGCACATGTCTATCTTTTTATCTTTAGCCTTATGTCAAGATTACTGAATTTTATGCTTAACCACTTGACAACCGGACTATTGCCGAATGACGTCCCGCGTTCCCCCAGCAGCGTGCATCCGGCAATCTCCGTGCCACCCATCAGTGCCCATCATTGCTGCATATCAGTGCAGCATCATCAGTGCTGCCTATCAGTGCCCATCAGTGCTGCCTATCAGTGCCCATCAGTGCAGCCTCATCAATGCACATCAGTGAAGGAGAAAAATTACCTGTTTGCAAAATTTTATAATAGAAACAAAGAAAAACTTTTTTTTCAAACTGTTTGCTATTTTTTCCTTATAACGCAAAAAAAATAAAACACCCAGTGGTGATTAAATACCACCAAAAGAAAGCTCTATTTGTGTGGAAAAAAAAAGTAATAAAAATTTCATATGGGTACAATGTTGCATGGCCGCGCAATTGTCAAAGTGCGATAGCGCTGAAAGCTGAAAATTGGCCTGGGCAGGTAGGGGGTATAAGTGCCCAGTAGGCAACCGGTTGAAGTGACTCTAAAGCTTTGGGGTTTTTTTTTTTAAATATCAAATATGTCTACACTTAACTGCTGTGTGCAGTGGTTTTGCACACAGCTGCCCCGAACCTCTTCTTTTTTGGGTTCCAGCCGACGCTCCTGGCTCCTCCCCCTTGAACAGTGCCCCCAGGGAAAGCTGTTCACCCTGGGGGTACCACTGCATGCTCGTCCCCGAGCCACTGCTCTGTGCTTTAATAAGGCACATAGAGCCGCGGCTTGGCCCCACCCTCCGTTCTCTCCTCATTGGCTCAATGGCTGTGATTGACTGTCTTTGCCAATGAGGGGGAAGAGTCACTAGACATCAGAGGCTGTTGAGCATGTTGCTGGATCAGAGGGGGCTCAGGTAAGGATTGGGGCTGATGGGGCCGCTGCACACAGGTTTTTTTACTTTCATACATAGAATACATGAAGGTAAAAAACCTTGAGCTGTTAAAACCACTTCAAAGATCATGAATAAGCACACATGAGATGTGCGGGGACCCTATAGTGTAGAAAAGACTCAATCAGAGCTACGTTGATTTCTCTTGTATATGTAACTGTTTGCTTTCCATGTATACTCTGCTAACCCGTGATCTGAAATTTTGGTTTGGACTGAAGGTAAGTTTTTTTTACTCACCGGCATCTTGTATCTCTGAGGGCCCATTCACACCACACCACAACACTGTGCACTGCAACACATGCATTGAAACAGATTGCTTAGTGTTTTTAGCTTGTTCAATATGAACAAGTGGCTGAAACGTGCAGCAATGCATGTGAACATAGGGCAGTGCAATACACCTGCATTTTGGAGGTGCATTAGGGTGTCATTCAAAATGAATGGCCTCACAGAGTACCACCGCAGCTTGCATTATTGCAGGACAATGGTGTGAATGGGCCCTTAGAATCACTGGCTCTGAGATTTCAACACCTAAGATCCAAGCTTCACCCAGTCCAAACAGTCATTTCAAGGGACATTTAGACCTTGTGAACAATCAACTGGATCAAGGCACCCTAACACAAAAGGTTTATATCATTATATTTTAGGAATTTAATCTACAGTATAGGGTAGGATGGTGGTAGGTTACATTAATCTTTTTTTTTTATTATTAAAGTTTTTGGCAATGCACCACAATGCATGCTATCTGCATTGTCGTGCAGTGTACTGCGGGTGTAACGCACATAGTACTGCATGTTAACATGCCTTATAGTGCCATGTGGATAAAATACCCTAAAGTTCCATTTTCATTTTGGTCTTGAATGTGCTTGTTTGAATGTTTGCTGATACCATCGAGATCTGTGCCCAAAGACTACAAACCCAGTATACAATTCTACCAGCTAAGATACACAAACTATGCAGGCACGACAGCAGTCTGGACCTCTTTTTTATACATACTAAGAGTCAGCAACGTGGTGTGTTGGTCACTGTGGGGGTTATTTACTAAAACTGATGAGTGCAAAATCTGGTGCAACTCTGCATAGAAGCCAATCAGCTTACAGGTTTTATTGCCAAAGCTTACCTGAACAGGCTGAAGTTAGAAGCTGATTGGCTACCATTCACAGGTGCATGAGATTCTGAGTGAACCAGCTTTAGTAAATAAACCCCTGTGTGTCACGCTTGGTAGCCCTCCTGTCCAAGGTCATGATCTATGTTAGGTAAGCAAAAATCCTGCCCTGAGCATAAGCTGATGTGCCAACGCAATGTCAGCTTGGTTGTTATCATTGCAGTCCTTTACTAAAACACAGACACATAGGATTGGTCCAAGCCCACCTTATCTAACACATAACTTACCTACATGTTATACCTTACGTCTTATTTATTTATTTATTACAGGTACTTATATAGCGCCAAAAATGTATGCAGCACTTTACATATATATTGTACATTCACATCAGTCCCTAACCCTCAAGGGGTGTACAATCTAAGGTCCCTAACTCACATTCATACATACACATACTAGGGCCAATAGAGACAGGAGTCAATTAACCTACCAGCATGTCTTTGGAATGTGGGAGGAAACTGGAGAACCAAGAGGAAACCCAAGCAGGCACAGGGAGAACATGCAAACTCCAGGCAGGTGGTGCCGTTGTGGGGATTTGGAACAAACGACCCTAGTAGTGCCAGGTGGAAGTGCTAACCATTTAGCCACTATGCTGCCCATAGTATAGTATTTTTCGTCCATTGAACACTTAGGTACATTTTTTAACTAAAACATGTTTCCTTGACTTCTTTTTTATTTTCCCAGATGTATATCCAAATTTGTTCTTGCATTTAAACATGATATTTTTGTAGTCCCTTCTTCCCTATGTATGTCTTTACTATGACCCATTGTCACAATTTACTGCCAGTAGCTCAGTACTAATTGGGTGCTAACATCCCTCCATCCAATCTAGCTGAGTTAAATGTGGTAATTGTTAAATAAACAAGCACATTATTATTGAAAATACTAGGTACCACCGCCCCATTCTGCTAATCTGGGTCCTTTAAAAAACAATTACACTGATTTGTCAGCATGGAATGATGTGCCTTGTGCCACAGCCCATTGTCTCTTCCCCGACCACATTAACCCACTAAATAATCATATGAAATAAATGCTGCATTTTCAGCGGGATTAGTCTAATAGCATTAAAGGCTTTATTTATTTATTTTATTTCCTTGGAAGAAAAAAAAAAAACTTTTTTTAAATGAGATTACTTATTACTTGAGTGGTTTTCCTCAATGCAGCAAAGATGGTGTCCGTGAAATTGAAAAATTAAGAAAAGAAGCGATTTTATACATTAATGGTTTTGAATAAAAGAGGAGTTAAGAGCCCTGCTCATCTGCTGGAGAAAGTTGAGATCTTCTGGCAGGGAAAGATAACACTGTCCCTCTAGGTGACCCCCCCTAGTGTCCCCATTAGCTGCTAATTACTTGCCAAACAAATAAACAATTAACTCCTCTTGCCTCTTGGTGGGAGAGTCTTCATTGAGATGCTAAGACTTTCTAATGAGAGATTTTAATTAATGAGGTTGTAAATCCAGCCCCCTTGTTAACACAGCTATAAGGAGGGATGCAAGACCCATCTTCTAGCATTCTGGTTTTGTAGGATCTACAGGAAGCTCGGTCATGACAAGTGGGTCTGTTTGTGAGGCCGTCCCAAGGATGTGTGCAGAGCTTCAGAAAGGTTCTTTTCTTGGTAACAATAGGACCACGACTAGTTCATTTTCCATAGAAAGCATTCTCGGACTGGATAAGAAAAGGGACTTCACTTCCACTCCCACCAGCAGGCATTACAGGCCTTGGATGGATGAGTACTGCAATAGAGGTAGGTCATCACATATAACTTACTAATAATGTGTGTCACACATTATTAGTAAGAGTTCACTTTGTATAAAATCTATGATGTATTATAAATCTAACATTTTCTAACAACCTTTATGGTAAAGAGACACTGAGGCTAATTTCTTAAAGGAACTGCTAATCTTTACTCAATAAATTGAGCAAATATTCACTTCAATTATTCAATCATGTTAAAAGAAAACTTCTGTTCACTTTGAATACCCAGTCAAGTGGGGATGAAATAAGTAAATAGGATTTGTTTTTGCATGATTGGATAGTTGAAGTGAAAATTTGCTGAATTTATTGAGTAAGGATTCCCCAGTTATTTAGTACATTACCTGCATTTACGCAGTTGTTTTAATGAAGGGTTCTGTGGCAATAGAAATGATAAACTTTATGTAAGGCCCTATACTAAACCTTTTATGGATGCATATGTATAACATTGTAATATTGACTCTCAAAAGACATACCGTAAATATTCTGAATACTTTCATGTAACCATAGCTCTTCATTATTTTGATTTGCCTTTAATTACCCCCGCATCTTTATTTTACTCCATCATTACTATTGCTACATGTTATGTTGTAATTATTTATCATTGAATATTTAGTAAAAAAACCTATTTGGCCAAACATTTTCTAATCACCATTTTTTTTTAAAACAAATATTCACAGAGATATATTAGTATTTTTCTTCTTAAAACACTTTTGTGTTTGTTTTTTTTAACCTTGTAGAGGAATGAATGTAAATTATATTATAGTATTTTATAGGTATGATAAAATTTGTAGTTCTTCAACAGATGGTGGGTGACGTGTTACCCAATCCCTATAAGAGATTTTTTTTTTGAAAATAGATTGGCTTGCATTTCCGATTTGCATCCTTTAGGATCAGATTGTATCTGTTGTCTGTTAATGCTATCAAGTGTGTCATCAGTTACGGTATAAACATTAACAAGTGTTTAACTGATTGCAGTGATAGAATCACAGGTGGGATTTCAAATTACAGTGTACTGTATTTTTAAGTCTGATGCCTAGAAGGCCTAGACAATGCTGAATAATCTGATTTGTTTTTTCTTTTCAGAAACTGATACATCTTGCTGGCGCCTCCCTATCTTCAATTGTGAAATACCTCTTCAGGTTCATACAGTCCGACATATGCTAGAAAAGGAAACTGCTGGACAATATGATAAGTGCTGCTCAGCAACAGAACGCCTGACATATAAAAGAGAAATGAGCTGGTACAGAGGAAGGAGGCCCAGAACTGCATTCACAAGAAGCCAGGTAAGTTATTATTATTATTATACAGTATTTATATAGCGCCAAAGGGTATGCTCAGCGCTGTACAGTAGCAAGGGGGACATAACATGAGACAAGACAGTAACAGTACACTACACGAGGGGTCGAGGGCCCAAGTTCATTATTATCATTTTTATACAGTATATGGATCCAATATAATTTGTCCAACATACCTTCACAGTAGAGGGTTGATTCAAAAGCAAATAAGCTATCCACTTTGCAAGAGAATGTTCCCTTAGCTTAGTAAATATGGTGACGCTATGCTTACTTCCATCATCTAACTGTATGCAAACAAAAATGTTGTGTTTTTTTTTTTTTTTTTTTTTTTTTAAGTTTCCTTGCGCCTCATTAGGTATTCTTTGCAGCGTAAATTTTCATCACATTCACTAATCCAGGAGAAAATTCCCTTGAAAAGTGAACAGCCTAATTGCTTTTAGCAAAGCCCTGTGTTTCCATTGTTTCCTGTCACTATCCATTTAAATTCCACACTGTAAATTGATTAATTAAACGTTTGTGTTAAGATAATACATCAGTTCATTATTTCCATGAATGGAGTAGTATACAGATTTCATATAAACGTAGCACTGATACATTTAGTGTAACTCCATCTGAATTTTTTAAGTTATGGATAGAGTGGTGAAGGAGTAGAATTTTTGTCAGGTTCAGTGCCCCCAGTGGGGCATTTCCCTTCATTTCTTCTTCCAGAGTCATGACAGTAATTAAGCGGAAATCTCTCTAGAATGAGAGGAAATTCAACCTTTGAAAGTTGTCGTCACCAGTACAAATTATTAATTCAATCCTTTTCTTTATTTGCAGATTGAGATTCTGGAGAATGTGTTTCGAGTAAACTCATATCCTGGAATAGATGTAAGAGAGGAACTTGCCAACAAGTTGTCTTTAGATGAAGATAGAATTCAGGTAAGATGTCATAAATATGTATCGTCTACATGTGGTATCTTGGCTTTCAAGTTTAAATAATTAATGTGACTATAACAACTTACCCCCTCCTCCCCCAAGCTTTACATTATTATTATTATTATTATTATACAGTATTTATAAAGCGCCAATAGTTCGCTCAGTGCTGTACATTACAATGGGGGACAGAACAATAACAATACAATACAATGCAAAACATGAGGGGATCGAGGGTCCTGCTCTTTCGAGCTTACAATCTAGTTTACATTTTAAGTATCCCCTAGATTTAACTTCTCAATACTGAAACCTAAAGAAGGCCTGTATGGGGGAAGTAAGGATGGTACTATTGTTGAAATGCTCTACTAAATGTAAAAATATTCCACAGTTCGCAAAAAGCCAGAGTTGACCTTAATAGTATTAAACCCAAAAACAAAACTGTATTACGTTTCAGTTCACCAATTCTTGTGGTGGCTGCATTAGTTTTCCTTTTTAGGCTTTTTTTCTTTATTTTAACCTGGTAATCTTGCCAGTATGTCTGTTGTTTTTCAATTTACTTCAACAGACCAAGCTGTCTAGACACAGTAGCAGTTAAAGGGTTGACACAAACTATTTAACACTGACAGAGGTACTTAAAATTTGTCATCTTTTATTCATTTAGGTAAAACCTTTATCCCAAAAGGAAAAACTGTTGCTGTAACTGCTTATAAAGTGTTAGCTGGAAATAAGTTTTATTTTTTAGTCTCATCAATCTGCAAGTCTATCTAACACTACCCTCCTCCCAGACTGACAAAGGTGTCTGCTTTACTACTTCATCAGGAATGCATACACCCTAAGACAGGAAGTGTTACTGGCCAGATCCTCAGGTGAATAAAAGAATCACAAGCCTAATAATGAAAACTAATGCAGCCACCACATATAAGGATTAGTAAACTGCAATAGATTACATTATTGTTTTTGGGTTTAACACCGCATTAAAACAAAAATCCAGACTGAATTTTCCTGTTTTACTGAATACATCGCCTCCAGCTGACAGATGGCATCAGAAAGGTGTATTACCTGCACACCTATATCTAAACCTAAGGGTACTCAAGTACTGGTGGCCTGATGTATCTAATGTGTGTTGGTCAGAAAGGATCCATCAGGACTTTAGATCTTCCCAGTCTGCGCTTGTTTATAATGCCCATCACCCATTTTTACAGCACTCTGTCTCTCTTGTATTTTGAATGAGGGAACAAATAATTAGTGAAGACCAAGAAGCACAAAGGAATAATAGACCACATTTATACAAACTGGTAGAGCAACAAGTGATTCTCTTTTATTTTGTATCCTACTGTAGATCATGGTTTAGGATCAATAGGTCTTGGTAACCAAATTTGCAGGGTTTTTAGAAATAAATCTATTTGCACTCTATCCTTCCCCTATGCTGTGCAACCCTAGACAGATGCTTTGTTTGCCTGCTAACATCAGCCCTGGTGGCAATTCCTATTCTCATTGTGATAGTATGCTCTATTGGAAAATGCACTCTTAACACACCACTGTATATCTAATGTATTTACATCTATTTTTATTACAGATCTGGTTTCAGAATCGTCGAGCCAAAATGAAGAGGTGCCATCGTGAGTCTCAGTTCCTTATTGTAAAGGAATCCTTAACACCAAATATCCAGGAATGAGGACCTTTCTACTTCATGTTACTGTAAATCAGTGATCACTAACCAGTGAATTTTCAATTAAATTCGGCCATAAATTACCTCTAGTTTTGCTTTTGATGACCGCTTGCCAAGTGCTTAGCATCTGGTTGTCTGGATATCTTCTGTATTATAAACTTTCCAAAAGTCTAAAAACCAAGCTAATGTAACAACAGTTTATATAAACTAATTCAAATAAACATTTCAGGCAATATTGAAAATTAAACGTTAAATGCATACATCTGGCCATCGGTGCACCACGGCAGACCAGTGCCTAAAAGGATAGGTCACCTAATAGTGAGATTTCAGTTTTTGGTAGATGTCAGAATTAAACCACATGACAAGTTGTTAGTTTTCTTGGGACATATATGAAATCAAGGGTAGGCTCCACAGCCAGACTCCCTCAAAACTAAAATATAATTTGGATTGATCTTTTAAAACTGCATTGTTGCCAGTGAGCTGATGTTCTGCGAATACCCCTTCTTGAACTTTGGTTGTGAAGACCATTTTATGCCCCCTGTTTGGAAGTTAGACAGTCAGTGCCTGATTCAGTGACAAGGAGAGGAATGTCACCAGCACACCAAGGGTCTCCAATGTGGGTTCAAAGCTTTAATAAGCAATCACATAGTTACAGCCCCAATAGCACATGTGAAAGCTGCAACAAGCCTGAAGCTTAGTTTTTTTTATAGTGTAAGCAGTTTTCTGGATAATTTAATTACACTGGAATTCAGCTGACAATGAACACGCACTTTTTGCTGTACAATGACAGTATCTTCATATATAACAATCCAAACAAAGGAATGGCATGTTTGCTAACTGTCATTAATGACTTTTAGAATACTAGAACTTGGACTTCTGATGGCCTACAAGAAAATGTAATGCATTGCTCTGGTATACTGTGCTAGATAACAGTTTTAAAAAATGTAAATAGTTTGTAATATAAAAATCATATGCCCATGCACTTTTTTGTAAATAGAAATTTTTAAATGTTTTAATAAATATTTTTAAACACATTCTGTATTTTGATTCCTGGTTTATGTAGAACAGTTTGTGGCATTGTTGCTGCACCCTTACTAACTGTATACACATTACTGTAAACATTTACCCCAAAAGTACCAAATTTGAAGCTGTGCTGCAAAATGAATTCATTTTTATATTCTCCTTTTTTTCTATTGAGTGTATGTAAATGAAGTCTAGGCACACAACTTTTTGTCCCCTATTAACATTGTGAGAAAGTAGAGAATACAAGTTCTAGGTGTGGATAAGGGGGTACCACCAGTCCTCTTGTACGGGGCCTAGGCCAGCAGGGGGGCCCAGGCAGCTGGGTGAATTGGATGTGGGCAGAGAGGGTGATTGGCACAGTGGGGGTGGGGGCAATTACCGGAACAGATGCCCTGTAAGGCTCCCTGCAGCATCTGAAAGCTGGATTCTTCTCTCCCTCCTGCTGGCTTTCAACTGCTGCAGAGAGCCATACAGGGAATCGGTTCCAGTAATTGCCTCCCCACCCACCATCCCAGTCACCCACCCTGTACACATCTGATTCACTCAGCTGCCTGGGCCCCCACAATACCAGCTTCCCTCCTCTCCTTCCCACCAACAGCTGCAAGCACACAATATGATCCTTCAGGATGGAGAGTAGGGGAAGGGTCTAATAAATGTCACATTAACCAGCCCCTTCCTTTCCTGAACAAACCCAATTGAATGATCGGCAATGATTACTCACTGTGTTCATTCATAACTGGAGCATAGTAAACTTTTTTTTTGAAGGGGGCCCTGTCAGGTTGGCTGTATGGGGCCCCGTAGTTTCTAACAGCAGTCCTGTGTGGATGTAAAACATTGGACATTTCAATCAGTAAGGGAAAGTCACTTAATAAAACTGCAAAATCTGGTGCAGCTGTACTGCGTATAGCCAATCAGCTTCTAAATTCAGCTTGTTCAATTAAGCTTTGACAAAAAACCTGGAAGCTGATTGGTTTCTATGCAGAGCTGCACCAGATTTTGCACTCTCCAGTTTTATTAAATCAAAACCAATGTTTAGTGAAGCACTTAGAAAAGGGAGTACCGTTTTGTAGTATAGGTCGGTCTTGTACGAATAGCCTGGGGAGTAGCAGGTATGTTAGTAGGGTACATACTGTGTCAATTGATCATATTACTGATGTTGAATTTCCCTTTCTTATATAAAGACCAAAATGAAGTAATAATATAAACCTGAATTAGCAACTGCTGTAGAAGTATATTTCTCCAGTTGTGAAAAATAAATATTTGAAATTATATGTGAATTTGATTTGTGTTTCCTAGCAACGTCTAATACATAAATAAAACGTTCCTTTGAATATTTTAGATGTTTGTCCAACCAAAACTATTTTTTTTCATTTTAAAATAGCATGAGGAAAGATTAGAACCCCTGTGGGAGGGCTCTCTCACTTACTGTTGCAGTGAAAATAGGTATGAATCTGCAACAGACACAGAAAGCAAAAGCTAATCCAATTTTCCCTTCACGTGGCAGTCAGAAGCCATCACATACTTAGGAATTCAATTGCCAACCCATCTCACAGAGCTTTACACCAAAAAACTTTCTACCCATTTTGCGTAACATCACCAAAGATCTGCAACAATGGGTTAAACCATTCTTCTCCTGGTTGGCAGAGCTGCTATCCTCAAGATGAATGTGCTTCCAAGACTTTTATACCTACTACAAACAATTCCAATTAAATTTCCCAACTCCTTTTTTAAGTCTTAAAAAACATTATGTACCTCGTTTCTATGGTGCAATAAACGCCCTAGAATTGGTTTTGAACAACTAACCATGCCTAAAACGGGTGGAGGTATAGGGCTACCTGACATCTCCCGTTATTACTAAGCTTGTCAAATGGCAAGAATAGTAGATTGGTCTACAAACCATGCTCGTAAGGCATGGGTTGAAGTGGAAGCTGCTTTCTCGGGGACCCCACTTGCCACTTCTCCCTGGCTACAAAAATCTCACATTCCATATGAGCTCAAGGAACACATTCTTATAGGCCCTACTTTGTCATGTTACCACCAGATATTCAAGAATACAACACTCTCATCCACCCCAGGTCCACTCACTCCTGTCAGACTGAATCCAGACTTCCCCCGGGTATGTCACATACCTTTCTTGCGGGACTTGGTCCCACTGATGGCTTAAGTATGCACCAATTCTTTAAAGACGGAAGGCTCTTATCCAGGGATCTCCTTCTGAAAAAATGGCCAACATTGATCTTAACACAATGGATGTATAGACAACTCCATCATTTCGTCCTCAGCTCACCCCAACTAAAAGCGTTCACTAGACATTTGACCCCCTTTGAGAAACTTTGCGCAACGGACTCACCTCAGAGACATATTATTTCCCAACTTTATTCCTGTCTCAAAACCACCAATGACCTCTCAACGAGGAAAGCTTGTAAGGCCTGGAGCGCAGACCCACAACTCCAACTATTGCCGGAAGACTGGGATCACATATATGAACACATACATAAAGGGTCTATATGTGTCTCCACACAAGAAAATAACTTTAAAGTGTATTCTAGATGGTATAGAGTTCCATGTCTGCTTCACTGCTTCAACCCCAATGTCTCGGATTTGTGTTGGAGATGCCATCAAACGACGGGCACATTCCTACACATTTGGTGGGAATGCCCATTGTTGCAACCCTTCTGGGGGAAAGTTCAATCTAGAATTGCACAAGTTACCACGTACGCCCTAAACCTTTCCCCCTCACAATTTCTGCTCCATCATACGGTAATTCCATTTCGGACATACCGCAAATCACTCGCCTTGCATATGGTAAATGCGGCTAAGCAATGTATCCCAGTCCACTGGCGTTCAACACATGTTCCCACTATACGAGAATGGTTTACCCAGATTGACAAAACTGAGGAAATGGAGGAACTGATTTCTGTAGCTAAGGAACATCCCGAGAGATTCAGGAAAACGTGGGCATGCTGGAGTCATTTCAAATCCACCCCTAACTATCACCTAATAGTACACGATCAACCAAGACCATCTGGCTGAATGTCTAGCTACAATGCTATAGGGGGATATATTCTGATAACCGAAGACACTTCTCTCATACACAAGGATGGTATGTTCATCTATATCTCAAAATGCCTTCTGGGGTTTTTACCTGCATTACCCCACTGACTGATCCTTCACACATCATATTTTAAGCTTTAGCAATACCTGTCTGGCTGGGCCAATACATGAGGATGTAATGTCTTCTCCCCTCCCTTTTTTTTTTTTTTCTTCCCCAACATCCCACCCTATAATTCTTTCTACTACTGTCTTTCTTTCTAACCTCTTGTCTTCACACCTGCTATTTCCCTGTATAATTTCTTCTCTACCAACCAAATAGAGCATTTCCTGCACACAGATATGACTAACTTCAACCATAACACATACGCTAGCTAAAAATATGTAAACAAAGACCATCACAGTACCCAATGCTTTCCCTACCCTTACCCCTATCATCACACTACCTTACCATTGAAAAGTTGATGAGAGTCAGGACGAGATAACATTCACTAACAGCATTTTATCCATTTTCTTCTTGGTATCCACCATTTGACTTTTTATGATGGATGTACTGTTTTACATGATTTCGTCTTGCACAAATGTTTACAATTTGTCTCGTTTGCGAAATGGAAAGCAACATGTCATGTCTATGTTTTGACTGTGATCTATGGCTGTACATGCTCTAAATGCTTTTGTCTTCACTTAAAACAATAAAGTATTTTTGGAACAAAAAGAAAGCAAAAGCTGGCAGAGGATTGTTTTATGCTTTTGTTATTTTTCATAAATCAGGTGAAATAACACAATAAGGGTACATAATACGGTTTACAGTAAATACGAGCATATCTTCATCATAGTATACTACTAGAAGGAAAAAATGCAACATTTAGATTTCTAGCTCCCAGATAATACAGTGCACTCATAGTAACATCCATATCAGTCCTAAAATTTCA